CCCAGAACCTCACCCCCCCACACCGCAGCCACGTTCCTCTGCTGTCCTTGGTCTCATATTCAGGTTGCATGCCTCCTCTCCCTCATGCTCCCAAGGCCTCTGAGGCCTCCCTAGTCTGGTGGCCTCCTCTGCTCTCAAAGCCACGAAGGGCCACACCACGTCTCCCCCTCTCAACTCTCCCAGTGGCCACTCCCCTGTCATACCTTCCTGCGTTGGTCACTGCACGAACACCCTCCTCCCATGCCCCCCGTATTCCTCCTCTGCTCCCCTCCAGATACTGGGGTGCCCCATGCTCTCCTCCCACACCCTGCATGACCTCCCCTGCTCCCCCTAGATGCTGGGGTGCCCCACGTCCTGCCACGCCCTTCTCCCATGCCCTGCATGTCCCTCCCTTCCCCTCCAAATGCTGGGGTGCACCATGCTCTCCTCCCCAGCCCTACATTTCCCCCTCTGCCCCCCTCCAGATGCTGGGGTGCCCCAATTCCCTCCTCCAAAGCTCCCACACGTTCCCCCTCTGCTCCCCTTCCAGACATTGGGGTGCCCAGCAACCCGGGCCTCAAATTGCTTCTCCTATGAGGCCCTCTCCTGGCCCCGCACCCAGTCCTGTGACTTAAACATTCATTGACATCAGAGTCCATGAGATGGCCACGTGTCAGCTGTACCATCATTTTAAGCACCCCAGGGGCAGGCAGGATCCTAAGAATGCATCCCCCACAGATACCCTTGTGCCAACCCCCAGAACCTGTGGCTGTGGGCAGGCATCATCCCAAGACTGTGCTGTGCTATCCGGCACAGCTGAGCTGAACACCCCGAGTCCCAGTGGGCCCAGCCTGGCACAGGGGCCCTTAAAGAGGAGCATACTCTCCAGCAAGTACTGGAGGGAGGCAGAGTTCCAAGCAGGAGGGGGATTCAAGACCCTGAGGCTGGTGTGAAGATGGGGAGGGGGGCGGGAGGGACCCATGGGAAGGACGGTGAGGACCTCTAGGAGCAGGGAGCAGCCCCTGAAGACAGCTGCAGGCAGCAGGGACCTCAGCCCGGTGACCCCAGGGCACTGCTTTCTGCCAGGGACAGGAACAAGCCTGGCAGGGGACCCTGAGCTCCAGTGAGAGAGTGGCCAGCCACCACCTGGATTCCAGCCCAAGAACCCACCACACTGTCTGCACATCTGGCCTGCAGGCTGCAGGTTACGAAGATGGGCGGTGCTGGAAACTGCTGAGTTTGTGGTGATAGAAAAGGAAGACAACGCTCACTCAGGAAGAAAAGACTGTTGGACAGTGACAGGTCATCGTTGGGGGGCGTGTCCCAACATGCCCAACTTGGTGTGTGTGTGCATGTGTGTACATATATGTGAGTACACGTGTGTGTGTGAGTGTGTAAGTGCGTGCTGTGTATGTATACACAGGTGTGAGTGTGTCCATGCACACACACGTGTACATGTGTGTGGATGTGTGCGTGGTGAGTATACATGTATGCGTGCATGTGTATGTATGTGACAGTATGTGCATATGTGCACATGTGAGTGGGCATATGCATGCATGTGAGTGTATATGTGTTCACATGTGTACATGTGCTTTGGGTATAATACGTGTGTGTGTACATGTGTGATTGTGTGCTGTTGCTGGTCTTGCCTGCCGCCCACCAGTCCTTCCCACAGAGATGGCCATTGGCACATTCTGTACTGGTCTTCCTAAGAAACCAGTTATCTGGACGCTGTTATTGTCTCCATTATACAGATGAGGACTGTGAGGCAGAGGGGCTGGGTCACTTGTCCAGGGTCCCAGAATAGCTGGCAATTGGGGTGTGGACTCAGGTTGTGTGTGTCCAGTGTCCACATGTAGTCCTCATCATCACTCGTGTGTCACCACAGTGGTCTCTGTCCAGGTAGAGGGCAAATTTTGCTGTCTGGGATAATAAAGATAACACTTGCCAACCTTGGTGGCTCACACCTGTAATCTCAGCAATTCGGAAGGCTGAGGCAGGAGGATCACTTGAGGTCAGGAGTTCAAGACCAGTCAGGGCAACAGAGCAAGACCCTGACTCAAGGAAGGAAAAAAAAAAAAAAACTAACTAACTTATCCCTCTGGGGCAGTTTTGGGTAGGTTTGCTAGCAGTCCCTTGGAAAGATTGGGGTTTCTAAAACACAAGGTTAGCTGTGTGCAAAGCATCCACCTAGGTCACTCTTCATTGCCCATGGGCTTGGAAGAGCCAAAGGAAACTCCTACTACTTGACCTCTTAGAGGAAATCTCAAATTCTCAAATTCTTTCCCCAGAAACTATGTAATAATTACTTACTAATTAGTGAATGCAAAATGCTTGCTAACATTTCAGTGGGGACTCTTGGCAGTCACCGTCATACCCAAGTGAGCGTGTTCTCAGCCCCAGCAGTGGCCGGATGGGCTCCATGGGCCTCCAGTGGGAGGCCATGAGAAGACAGGCTCGCTTCCAGGGGTCTCCTTCTGGAAACACAGCAACTGCAGGAGACAAAAGAAGCTAAAGTGTGGGCCATTCCACAAAGACCCATGAAGGCTGGCACCAACGGGGGCATGGGCCTGGCTCTGCAGAGTCTATGGGGACATTGGCTCCTGATGTTTAAGGTTGACTGCAGTTACTTGGAACTATTTTGTTTACTTTGGAACTATTCCCCGGGGTGTGGAGGGAGCAAGCATCAGGTCGACAACCCATTCCCAGTGGGGCAGAGAACAGTTGTGTGGAGGGTGGGCGAGAGGAAGTGCACCCGGGCACGCAGGCGGGCTCCGCAATGGGGGAGCTGTAGGGAGGGAATACCGGGGACTCTTTGTCCTATGTCTGCCACTTCTCTGTACACTGGAAATTATCTCAAAATAAAAAATTGGGTAAAACACATGCACAAAGCAATGTGTGTGTTTCCCACAGGGGCTTACGCAGGCAGGGGAGTGTTTCGGAAAGGTCTGGAAGGACTGAGGCTTCCAGCCAGGGCAAGCCTCAGCAGAAAGAGGACTGAGCAGCAGCACATCCCCTGGGCTCCGACAGAGTCACGTGGCGCAGGCCTGCAGGTGCCTGTCACAGTGCTGCCTCCTGGAGGCCGCAGTCAGCGACTTGCGGGAAAGCCCAGCCCACGGGTACCATCCACCACCCACTGCCCGGCATCCTCTAAGGCTGTTACTGGGGATACACTGACCTTTTCATAACTGAACTGACCTTTTCATAACTGAACTACCTTCGCAGGTTCCTCCACTGGGGAAGTCAAAGTGAACCTCGGCCTTCATGTCTCAGCACCCACTGTGTGCAGCAAACCTAAGTGTGGGAGAGACATCTCAGCGGATGCCCTCACCAGGTGGGTGGACCTCAGTCACCATTCCCGGATCATGGGTGGGGAAGCCATGAGGGCAAAGCCACCCATCCAGAGTGAGCTGTTCCTCGGGAGTTTGGGGGTTTGTGCACAGTCTCAGAGGAGCATCCAGGTCGCCTGGGATCGCGTCCTCTCTGGGGGTGCACGCCATCCTATCAGTGCCGTACACTAATCCCTACGTCCATCACTCCAGAGTCCTGGTGAGTGCCCACCCCCTTATGCCCCTGTGCTGCTCCCACATGGCCAGGGCCCCTGGCATGTCCCTCCCACAGGCCAGGAAGCTTTGGGCTGGGAGCAGCTGGCCTTCTGGGACTGTGCTCCTTAGAGGCAATAGGATCCCAGAATTCCCTACAAAATGGTTCCAGGCCTACTTTCCAGGGCTTTGCTATCACTTTCTGGGCCATACCCCCATGGGGTCCTCAGCCCCTCACAGTGCCAGGCAGAACTGGGTGGTCCAAGAGGGGAGAATTTTGGCTGGTGCTCTTGAGACACACCACATCCCAGAGAGCCCGGGTCCCTCTGAGCCAGCCCATGCCCCACTGTTCAGGCGTTTCTGTCAGGAGGAAGCTGGAGCGGGTCTCGCGGAACCATCCACTGGATTAGTAGATGCTTTAGATCACTTGGCATGTGTAAATGCTGACAGCTCAGAGGCCTAGCTGGGTTTTGCCAGGCAAAGGTGCAGGAAGAGGTGTGGCCATCTGTCCCTCTCATCATCACCCAGGGACCAGGGGCCTGCTCAAGCATGGGCCCTGTCTGGGAGCTGAGAACTCACCAGTGTCCTCAGGGGTGTCTCCCCACCCAGGGACCCTGTCTGGGAGGGCAAGGTACAGGGCTCAGGGCTCCCCTCCTCAGTCCTCACCTCTCCATGTGGATTGCAGGACAACACATGGTCACCACTGTGGCTTCTTGCCACTGGGGTGTGCAGGGAGCACTTTATGGAGGGATGTAGGAGGGAGCAGCAGTGAACAGGAGTGGGTGAGGGGGTGGTGAATGAATAAGGAAGGGGCAGGAGTGAATGAATGAGTGGGAGAGTGGGTGGTGCATGGGTGAGGGAGGGGCAGGAGTGAATGAATGAGTGATGAGTGGGGAACAAGTGAGCGAAGATGCACCACACCCACCCACACTGGACAGGGGATACCTGGGGAGACAGACCTGTCCTGAAGGGCTTCAACCTGGTGCCCCAAGGGTCTCGGCGTGGAGAGCAGTGACTCTGAGTGTGCCACTGCTCTCCAGCCTAAGCAACGGAGTGAGATTCCAACTCAGAAAAAGAAAAAAAGAAAATGGTTATCCAGACCAGGCCTGCTGGGCTCAGGCTACCCTTCTACCCCAGGCTTCCAAGTAGCTGAACTACAGGCGCATACTAGCATGCCCGGCTAATTTTTTGATTTATTGTAGAGATGAGGTCTCACCAAGTTGCCCAGGCTGTTCTCGAACCCGTGGGCTCAGGCAATCCCCTCACCTCAGCCTCCCAAAATGCTGGGATTACAGGCTTGAGCCACCACACCTGACCTGGATATCTATTTTCTAATTTCATGTGGCTCCCACACATCACTCCCAGGCACCCTCGAGACCTCCCTTGTAATCCCCAGCCCCCACTTGGCCTCCTTCTCCCGACCTCCCTGACTGGTCACATTATTGCCACTGTGCACTGGCATGTCTGTGCAGCTCTCACCCAAGCCACAGTGTCCCCAGCACATGATGTCACTCCTTTGCCCCCCAGGAAGCCAAGTTTGCTGTCCGTAGCTTTGAGACAGCAGAAGATGAGAAAGGGGACTCTGGGCTCCAAGGCTGTATGGGAACTGGGGTGTTGTTTGAAGCCACCGAGTCCATGGCGACTAGTGGCAGTAGCCACAGGACTCAGATCCACCTTGAATGTGATGTGATCCCTTGCACCACTTTTTGCTTTTCCCCAGCCCAGAATATTCCAGACTGTCCCAGAACATACTTCCACTTTTCAGTCCTTGATGGTAGCCATACCTTTTGTCCCGGGAGAAGTGTCAACCTGCTAAGGTAATACTGCCTCGTTTCTTTTAAAACAGGAAGCTGGACAGGGAGAGATAGAGGAATGAAAAATCACCAGATCACCTCTCAGGTACAAGATGCACAGTGGATGGCTGGTACTCTTAAAGTCCAGGCTTTTTTGCCACTATACAATGCAATCATATATCCAAAACTACTTGTATCCCCTAAAGCTGTTGAAATAAGAAATAAAAATTAAAAAAAATTAAAAGTATTGCTGGGGCGTGGTAACGTGCACCTGTAGTTCCTGCGACTTGGAAGGCTGAGGTGGAAGGATCGTTGGAGCCCAGCAGGTCAACCCCGGGGTGACCGGGAGCGTGCCATTGCACTCCAGTCTGGGTGACAGAGTGAGACTCCAACTTGAAACAAACAAACATAAAAGTATTACTTAAAGTAAAAAATACACACACACACACACAGAGACATATACGTATAAAGGAAGCTGGGATGAACATGAATGTACTTTTATTTCCAAACATATGTTCTATTATTTACTTATTTATTTGAGTCAGAGTCTCAGTCTGTCATCCAGGCTGGGGTGCAGTGGCATGATCATGGCCACCACAGCCTCGAATTCCTGGGCTCAGGCGATCCTTCTGCCTCAGCCTCTTGAGTAGCTGGGATTACAGGCAAGTGCCACCACACCTGACTAATTATTTATTTATTTATTTATTATAAAGGTGAGAGCTCTCTATGTGGCTTAGGTTGGTTTTGAACTTCTAGGCTCAAGCAATCCTCTCCTCTCGGCCTCCCAAAGTTACTGGGATTGCAGGCATGCACCACCGCACCCGGCTCCAAAGGGATTTTCTAAATGTCTTTACCTAATGCCTCTCAAGCTGGAACAAGTCACAGCAGCCTCGCAGAAGGCGACTGTGGCTTAGCTCATTGGCCCATGTGGTCTCCAAGGAGACCCCTGCACCACGCCCCAGGCAATGCCCACTGCCTTGTGGTCTGATGGTGTGTGCCGTGACTGAGGCAGAGGTAACCATGACCCAGTGAGGTAGGTATCATTGGCCCATTTGACAGATGGGGAAACCAAGGCATCAGTGTGACCTGGCCTAGGCAAGGCTCGTCCAACGGGGCAGAGCCATGGTCCAACTCCGGGCCGTGAGGTGTCTGGGATGCCAGCTGTCAGTGTCCTGCAGCCCTGCTGTGTGTTCCTGCCTTGGTGGGGCCCAGGGTCCAAGGGCCAGAGTCATCTGCCTGTCGTGGGTCCCTTGGCAGCTTCTCCCTGGTGCCGAGTCTGGGAATTCCAAGCCCCTTCCAGCTATGCTACTCCTGCCCAGGGTGTCCTCCAGCGCCTCCTGCTGACCTGCGCTCCCTGCCTAGGCCTCTGGGCAACCCTCAGGGAGCAGGGACTGCTGACTAGTCTGCCCCATGAGTCCCCAAGGGGTCCCCGGCTCAGAAAAGAGCCAGCCCCAACAAGGACTCCAACCCCTGGAGGCTGTGGGCTGCCCGTGGTGACCGGGCAGGCCAGGGTGTTGGGTGGCCCTTGGCAGAGCCCAGAGACGTGGCAGAAGAGCACAGAATAAAGTCACCACAGATGCCACCGGGCAGCACCCAGCACTCCAGCCAGCCTCTACTCCCAGCGTGCCGCCAAGAGAGCTAGCAGACTGACTGCCAGGAAAATGTCCTCCCTGCCACACACTCTGGGCTCCAGCAGCCCGGAAGCATCACTCAGCACTGGCCATCTGTCACGTGGGAGAGCCTGAGGACCAGGATACTCACGGGCAGAGATCACAGAGGAAGTGGCTTCAGGAATGAGAAGTCGGTAGTATGTAGTCTGGAGGTGGCACAGATGTCATGGCCAGTGGGCTCAGTAGACAGGAGCCCTGTTCCTGCCCCCGGGACGCCCGCCCAGCACCCTCCCCAGCAGCACAGTTCTCCTCCACCAGCCTCTCGGGGGTGCACAGTGAGCCCCCTGGACCCTGTGGTAACCCTGGTGGGTGGACAGGCCTGGGGAAGCCATAGTGGCTTATGAGTACTGTAGGTGACCGCGGCTCCTCCGAGTCCCTTGAGTTTGTGAGCTTGGTGGCCTCTGCCTGCCCAGACCACTGTTTCCACCCCCTGTGGATCCGGGACATTTCTTGCCGGGAGTGGTCTGTGGTCAGCATGTAGATGATGGGGTCAGCCACACCATTCACTGTGGACAGACACAGAAACACCATGGAGGCCGTGTACAAGCTGGCCTCAAATGCACACATGGCGGTGTAGTCTCCCCGGTAGTAGGAAAAGGCAGCGGCCTTGACCAGGAGCACCAGGTGGAAGGGTGTGAAGCAGACCAGGAAGATGACGACCACGGCCACGGCCGAGTGCTTCACCTTGGCCTTCTGGGCGGTGCTCAAGCCCACACTCTGCTGGACGCTCCTGAGGATGCGGTGGTTGGTGAAGATGATGACGGAGAGTGGAATGGCAAACCCCACAGCAAAGCGTGTATAGTAGTACCCCGCGGTCCGGCTGTCCATGGGCGATGTCTCGAAGCAGGTCTCCTCGTCCTCCATCACAAACACTGGGTAGTGGACCAGCCCCACAAGCACGAAGATGGACGCGGAGATGAAGATGGCGGTCTTCTGGCGGCGATGGCCTCGGCTCTCCAGGGCATACACCACCGCCAGGAAGCGGTCGCAGGAGATGCAGCACAGGAAGAGGATGCTGACATAGATGTTGCAGAAGAAGACGTAGGCGGTCACCCTGCAGGCCTGCATGCTCAGCATCCAGCGGTGCTGCTTAAGGATGTAGACGATCCAGAGCGGCAGCGTGCCCACGTACAGCAGCTCACAGAGGGCCAGGCAGAACAGGTAGACTGCCAGCACGTTGCCCTGCCGTACCTGCCGCAGCGCCAGCCATGCTGTGAGGCAGTTTGCAGGCAGCCCCAGCGTGCACACTGCACTGTACACCACCACCAGGACCACACGGCTGTCCTCGTACGGCATGGTGCAGCTACTGTTGGAGTGGTTCGAGGTAGCCAAGGGGCTAGTAGTGGCCACTGGGGTGGCATTTCCTGTGGGACAGAGACAAGGGTGAGGACGGGGGTCCTTGGGAACCACCTGGAAGAGGCCTTATGGTGTGAAGAGAGAAGGATCTTTATGGCAACTCCAGACTAGACACACCAGGTGTTTCAAAATTTTCCAAATGAAGTTCTGTAATCCCAGCACATTCAGAGGCTGAGGTGGGAGGATCATTTGTGCTCAGAAGTTCAAGACCAGCCTGGGCAACACAGCGAGACCTCGTCTCTACAAAAAATAAAAAAATTAGCTGGGCATGGTGGCACAGGCCTGTAATCCGAGCTACTCAGGAGACTGAGACAGGAGGATCACCTGAGCCCAGGAGGTTGAGGGCGCAGTGAGCTATGACTGCCACTGTACTCCAGCCTGAGTGACAGAGCAAGACCCTGTCTCCTGAAACAAACAAAATCTTCCAAGTAGATGCTAAAAAATGATACTTGGATCGTGGGTCTCCCCCGGCCTCCATGGCAGCATGGACAGGGGACAAGGGCTGGGCAGTGCTGAGGACTTGCCACTCACGGGGGCCAGTTTTCAAATATGTTGCTTGCGTGTTGGGAAAGAGTTCTCTAGCTGCCGTACAAGGGCTCTCCCATGCAGATTCTCAGGTGAGTCTGGAGTTAGGCACTCCCACTTCCCTCTTCCAGAGCCCTACCTACTTCACTCCCACCCCATCCCTACCCCCCCCCCAGCCTGGGCCCTGTCCCATCCTCAGCTCTAGTCTCACCACTTCTTTGCCTGTTTGAACAATCAGTTACTGAGAAGGATGACTCACAGCTCCTGTTGCCAGGGTGAATTTTTCCAGTTCTCCATATCATTCTTGCAAGGTTTGCTTTATGTATTTGTAGTCATTGTTAATTGGTGCATAGGCGTCAAAAAGGGTTCTGTTTTCTTGGTGAATTGACCCTTTTATCATTTTGTCATGATACTCCTTATCCTGTGGTAGGCAGAATAAGGACCCCACCCAAAAGATGTCCAAATCCTAACCCCTGGAATGTGTGACTATGCTAGGTCACATGACAAAGGGAAACTAAGGGTGCAGACTAGATAAACACTGCTGACTAGGGCAACTTTTCAGGTCCCCCTCCCACTGTGGGAGCTTTTCTATCCTCTCAATAAATCCTCCTTTCTCAAAAAAAATAATGATAATAACACTGCTGACTAACTGGCTATAAAATAAAATAAAGAGACTATTCTGGGATATCTGAGCAGGATTGACATAATCACAAAGGTCCCTAAATGTGGAGAGGGAAAAAGAAGAGAAGATCAGAGCGGATAGTATCAAAATAGCCTGGTCAGTCACTGTGACTCTGAGACTGGAGGAAGGGGCTACATGCCAAGGGATGCAGACAGACTCTAAAGCCAAGAAAGGCAAGGAAATATGCTCTCCCCTAGAGCCTCCAGGAGCACAGCCTTACTGATCCCCTTACAGATCCCCAATCTTTTTTTTTTTTTTTTTTGAGTTGGAGTCTCACTCTGTTGCCCAGATTGGAGTGCGGTGG